AAACCCGAAGCCCTAAAACCTAAGCCGTGACTCCTCAACCCTAAACCGTTATAGGCCCTAAACTCTAAACCCTAAACCCCCAGCCATAAACCAACACTATATTAACCCTAAGCCCTAAACCCTAAACTACCCACCTCCGCTCGCGATGTGGGCGGTCGCCTGGCGTTGGGAGGCCAGGTGGGGTCAACACTTCAAGGCTAGCGAGGCAGTAATGTACCATGCAGCTGACGCACGTCTAATTTTTTCCCGCACACAGTTGGCAGGGCAGGCAGTTTCGTCAGCTTCATGCCGATCAGTCATGCTCTTCCGGACCCTTCTGAGATCTCATGTGCTGCACAGTCTCATCAATCATGCTGTCCTTCAAGAAGAGCACATCTTCCAAGCTGGTCCCTTGCTTGAGCTCCTGCATCAGGGCATTGGCGATCTCCTTGTTCTGGTCCAAGGTGCCGCCGGGGACGTTGACCTTCCAAGCATTTGAATAAGTCGGATGATTGGAGAGTATTCGGTGTAATTCTTATATGATGTAGGGAAAACTCAATAATCATGGGTGCCTTAGTTTTTCTGCCGCCGTGGGATGGATTATGTTACAGGGGTGTCTTGGCTTTTCTGCCACCATTTCATTAATCCTAAACCTGAGCAGCCCATCCCTTTGCTGATGATGAGGCCTGGAAGATCTGGCGGTTATTGGCCTTCACGCCGCAAGCCAAGGTGGTCGAGTAGGGCTTCAACTTGTAGACGATCTCTTCGCCCTTCTGCTCATCCTCCTTCTCATCTTTCTTGTTATTGTTCTTGTCATCCTTCTTCGCACCCTTCTTCTCCTCCTGCGTGTTCTTGCCTTTCGGGGTGGAAGCCTCTGAGCCGCTTGCCTTCTTCGCCTTCTTGCCCTTCTCTTCAGCATTGGCATCTGAGACAGACGCACTGGGTCGTTTGAGCACCTTTGACTGGCTCTTTGCTTTCCCAGCAGGCTTTGGATTTGTCTGCTTTTCTTCGCGCTTCGTTGAGGTTGGGACTGATGGTGGCTTTGGAGTTGGGGCCTCGGGCTCCGAGTCTGTAAGCTCCTCCACCCTGCCAATGACATTCATGGCCATGGCTGAGACCTAGCACTAGCTTCAGAACTGGGGGTTGCCAATCTAGAACTGACTTCGGGAATGCCTGCGAACTTCTGGACTCGAGAGCTTGCCACGCTTGCTGAGGTTCTTTCACGAACCGCTTCATGGAGCATTGGAGGCAATGCGGTCTGCTTTTACACAGCAATCCTTGCTTGCTCTGAACATGTCTCAAAGTCTTCTAGTGGTAGGACCGCCAGTGCATTAAGTGGCTCCCGCAGGGCTTGTTCACCTGCCCTCAAAATGTTGCCAACGTCCCCGAATGGGATTTCCTGTAGGCGCGGTGTACTCATCAAAATTCCCTTGCAGAAGCAGCCAAAACTGTGCAAGCTGCTCCATGGAGAAATCAGCACGTGCATCCATGGCTTCAGAACAACTTGTAGTACTTGTTCGCTTCGAGGGATGTGTGGCCAGCAAGGTAGCACTTGGGCTTCAGGGGCTTCATCATGGCTGGAGGGGTTTTTTGCAGGCGCATTCCCAGATCACCTCCAAGTAAGGAGACTCGTAGATTTTCTCGAAGCAGCCAGAAAACGCTGCTCCCAGGACTGCCCGCTTCAGCTGACCCGACGCGATCTGGCTGTCAGGCGCGGCGTGTGGGTGGTAGGCAATGTAGTTCTCCGTATCCCTCTCAAGTGTGCATCGCAAGAAGGCCTCCTGCTGACTTCCATCCTGAGTTTCCAAACAATGGGCACTAGAGAAGTTGAATGCTGGCATACAGTTTACATCAAGTACATCCATAGGTGCCGGGTTTCAGGAAGGTTCTTGAGGATCGGCGTTGTCTTGTAGCCCTGAACACTCAAGTCCGGGATATCAGCCTTGAAGCTCTCCCAACGGACCTCGCAAATTGTCATGAGTGTCTTCGCGGCTTCGTCTGCGTTTGCCTCCTGGTTCATGAAAATCACTTTGGTCATGTCATCTTGAGCATTCCAGGCTATGCTGGTCTTCTCATCCATGGGCTGCCCTGGGGTTCCAAGCAAGTCTTTTTGGGTCTAGTCTAGGTTTCGGGGCTTCTGCTATGAAGGGGTTGCAGATAACACATATCCTTTGACCGGGCCTGACTTGGCCAAATCTCCCAGGTTGAACCCGAACAGCTCGCATGGCTCGAGCTCGAGGCTGGAACCCCGATGCAGGGTTTCATCTTTGCTTGCATAGAGTACGAAGTCTTTCGTCACATGCAGGGCTGGCAGCTGTCGCGTAGCTTTCACCGTAAACAACCTTGGTGGAAACATTTCTCATACACAAGAGGGGGCTGAGATAAAGGGACATCAGAGTTTAAGAGGCTAAATTCAGAAAAAGGCACACGTTCTCTTCTGACCATTCTGCCGCTGTTGTCGTAGGCAATGTCTTCCCGGGGTAGGGGCGGGCGTTGGGGCTGACCGTGGTGTCTCGGCCGCTTCTTGAACTTGCGCCGGCATTCGTGCCCTGGGTCGTGGCAAGGGTGCTGTCCAGCACAGGATACACCGTCTTCGCCAGAAAGATGCGAAACTGACTGATCGTGGCGTTCCAATTGTCTCTGTGAACTGGATCCTTGCAGCAGGCATGCCTTGAGGGGTCCCCAAGGGTTCCCAGGAGAGGTTTCTATTAGCATCATTCAGTCTTCCAAAGTATCCAGAATGGAGAAATCCCCGAATGGTTATTGCAATGGTTATTGGTTTGAAGGTGTAAGTGTTCATGCCAGACTCTCCGACTCACAGATATGCAAAGCATCAGCCAGGCAATGAATTGACAAGATCCTTACACACATTGCAGGTCTCAGCCCCTAAATGTACTAACTGCAGAGAATGAACAGAACCTCTGTGGCTCTCAGCGACCGATGAAATAGCCGCCTGTCTTTTTGCTAGTCCTCTTCCTCTATCTGTTTGGCTTTTGCTTTCTGGTTCCCTATGTCTTTAATTTATGATTTGTGTTGCACCTTTTAACCCTTGCCCTAAACTCTTAAACCCTCAACCCTAACTTTGCACCCCAAACCTTTCACTGACTCCAACGGGTCTGTCCTCGTCGAACTTGCCTGCAACCAACTCCGAGACTTGCGGCCGCCCATCCACAAAGCTTCCCAGGATCAGCTCCGGCTTCTCTGTCTGCGTGCTGCTGGCTGGCTCAGCAGGACCGGCGTCCGGCTGAAGGGGCCACCATTCTTGCATTAGCAGAGCTTCCATGTGGGCCTGAACAGCTTTCTGAGTATCAGATTCACGAGTGAGGCCCAGGTAGGAGATGAATGGGATTTTTGAGTCTGTAGACCTCTTCATCTGCATCCTGAAACAAGCTTCGCTCCAATCGCCCGTGTTGGATGTGTTGAACTCAAGGATGTCGAGATGGAGGCCCCCTTTATCCAATCCCGAGTCCAGTAGCAAGCTCTGAAGCATTTTCTCCACAGCAGCAGGGCCTCGGTGGGTGCAGCGGGCAGCAGGGGACAGGTTGTAGCCCTCGGTACCATCACCAAGCTCTCCTGGCGCCTGCAACCTTCGCATTTCCCGAGCTCGAAGTAGAGGGATGTCTGTGATGCTCCCCTGTGCCCCCTTACCCTGCAGCAGCATTGGCGTGTGCTTGGTCCCAGCTTTCTCGCTAAAGCAGAGTCGCGCTCTTCCCCCAAGCGGTCGCCGATCATTGCCATGCCGGTTAGCAACCTCATAGGCCAAGCTGACCTCGCACTCCATGTTGACGCCGTTTGTCAGGAGACGATCCTCCATCCGCCGCTGAGCACTCAGCTGGGACCTCGTGCTTTGCCCCGTGTACTTTGCTGGCTTGTAGAGCAGGAGGACATGTTCCTTGTTCTGGTGTAGCAAGTTACAGGCCGTGTCAATCATGTCATCAATCTCTGAGTTCGACGGGGAGACGCTGAGATCCAACACCACCAAGAGAGCCCTGCACATCTATGTCACTGACTAGTATGGAAAAGTATGCCTAGTTCTTTTGGGTACAGGGTTTCCGATTTGGCAACAGGGTCAAGAAAAATTCAGCGGCCTTGCGTCCGAGGTGGTATGGCTGGCTGCGTCCACCGCTGCTCGCCACTCAGCCAGCCGCATGTCCGTGTACTTCAGCTCGCTTAGACGAATGCGCAAGTAGACATCCGTGTAGTTCTTGACAGCTTTCTGCCCCCGAACGTAGCGTTTGCGCTTGTGTGTCAAGACCACATTCTCCCAACTGCTCTTGCGGAGCCGCTCAGCTTTTGCCCATTCTTCTAGAGCGTTCTGATCCTCTTGCAAATCATGGTTCATCTTGCTGAAGGTTGCAATGGCTACCTGGTGCCGAACCGTCTCCGCCTTCTTCAGCGTCTCCTATGGCACTGGGCTGAGTTGTTTGCCAGCGCTTCGCCTAGAGATGCAGCAAGGTCCTACCCGCTTAATGTTGGTTTGAAGCTTTTGGTTTGATTCCTTCTGCCAAAAATTCTCGTGTTGCACTAGCTTTTGCAAACCCGTTGGTGGTCTCCTTCTGCAGACTGTCCTGGTGCCGTGCCATAAGTAGCTTTACCTCCGCCAACTCCTCCACATCAATCTGTGCCGGGCATTCCTCGCACATGCGGTCTAACCATTCGTCGAAGCTTCCCTTGAGGAACAGCTTGTCAAAGTGCGATACCTCAGCCTGGAATAGGGAGTCTGGGAGCTTCGCCTGGATCTTCTCTCTTGCAAGAATCCAGCAACGGGCAATGCGACACATGCGGGCTGCCTCAGGCTGGCCGGCGGCTTTCCTGAGCCCGGAGGGGGTGTTCTCATAGTTGTAGATGACCCTCTGGACAGCGAGCAGGATGCTGTCAGCATCATTGCGGAGCATGGACCGCCAATCGTTGGCGATGACCTTGGGCTCATGCCTAAGTCGTAGCTCCACGGCCGCGAGGAATTGGTGATTGAATGCGCCCTTGAACATACCAAATTGGCGGGCTGCCTTTTCCAGCAGCTGCACAGCTGCCTCCGGAAGGTGATTCACCAGGTTAATCACCGCTGCCGATTCCGCTGGGGACATTCCTAGAATGCTCTGTCTCGAATTCTTGGTGTTGGAATAGCTTCCAAGTATGTCCTGGAGGCTTTGCCCTTGAACTGTTCGCCGTTGAAGCTGGTGGAGAGCATTGAATGCATTGGGCTTGGAGCGCGTAATCACACTTGCCATCGTCAGGTCTTGGCTTGCCAGCTCATGTCAGACATGCTTAGAAAAGAACCTATTGTAACTGAGGCGCCTCTGTTAGCTGCAATTCGGCCCAACTCGTTGCCGAACTCCCGCGTCACTGTGCCGTGTAGGAGGCAGAAACGGGCAAACTGGTCTGGCTGCTTGGACTTGTAGTCCTCCACCAGATCCTGGTCCACGAGGAAGACAGCAGCCAAAACGAAAGCAAGACCCCTTGTCCAGCCTTTTGTAAAAGCCACGGATTGGGCCTCATAGGCTGCAGGATGCTTCGGGTGTGTGCCCGTGCTCCATCCAGACGGGAAGTACTCTTTCACTAGTGGCTGCAGGACCAAATATTCCACGCCTGCCAGCTCGGCGGCGTTAGTCTTTGGTCCATGCAGAAGAACCAGCTGCACAAGTGATCGCAAATCTTGCGCGGCAACAAAGCCTTTGTGGCCGGCGTGCTTGCTCCAGCAGATTTGCCAGAGCGCAAAGTGTTTCAGGCCGGCCTTGTAGTCGCAGCTGAGCGGCACGGGCGCTGGGAACTTCTCTTCCAGCTGCAGCGCCATCTCCTGGCGCGCGGCCCGTTGGGAACCGCTCTGAAAGGTACTCGTCTGCAGGACGCCCCTCTTTCAGCACGTTGTCCAGGAAGGTCTGCAGCTGAGGCCACCAGCTCTGATCCACAGGCACCTCCTCCACTGGAGGCGCAACGTCAGGACACCTTGCGCTTGGGTGGTGCCCCGCCCGTGCTTGGACGCTTCCCCATGACTTGAGAGGTGCAGAGCCTCTTGCTCTAAACTGTGCTACGCAAGAAGCCTGAACCAAGAAGAAGAGGCAACGCTTAATTCAACAGTAACCCCCATGCGTGTTGTGTGTACATTGCCTCAGCAAAGCAAAGCACAACCAGCAGCAAGCTTTGGCAGCACTGTCTTTCTCCCACGGCTGCCCCAAAATTGCAGACTGCAGATGCTTAATCTAAGCATTGAAATCTGAGGTCCGACAGCTGCTGCCCGAGTTAGCGCAGTACTGCTTCCACGGTTTCCAGGAAGAGGACCATGTGTCTAGAGAGAGCACCGCTTCCTCTCCAGATATGGCAAGTGCCTAGTAGGCCCCGACGTTGTTCTTCTAGGCGCCCCCACTCATCATCAGACCTGCTCTTTTCGGGGTGGTTTTCTATATAGGACTTGGGACGCTACACTGCATGCGCTTGACAGGACATGGCCGGCCTCGCCGGCACCACGGGGTCATCGAGGGGGAACAAGGCCCGAGAAGACGGGTTTCCAAGGAGGCTCGCAGGCAGGCTCTCACCCCTAAGCAGCACTTGCACGCCCTCTAGAAACACTAGCAGTTCTGCCACGCGATTATTGTAGCAGCCGCTGAAAGTAAACCTGCACACATAGCAGAGATGTCGTAATCGTTCAATTGAATCTGCTGCCAGACCATCTTGGAGAATCAGATGGGTCGCGACCTCAAACATGGCAGCCTCTGTGAGGTTGACTCCTAGGACCTGTCGCGGCTTGCGCAATCCCTTCCCCTTGAGGGTCAGTCCACTATGGATCTGTAGAAGCACATCATGCAACTTGTCGACAACATTGCTCACAACTGGGATGCCCTCAAATTTGTTGCAATGCTCTCGCAAGACTTCTTGCGCGTAGAGGCTTTCTTGGAATGCGAACCACCACTGATCGTAGGTCCTCTGGGCTGCTTGAAAGGGGCTATAGGCTTTGGAATCCATAGAAAAGGGGATTCAGATCAAGGGGGGTCATGTTGCGTTTGTCACAGACTTTGCAGGCCTGAAGTCTGGGACACCAGAATGGGAAGGTTGACAGGCTTCTTCTCGAGTGATCAGCACCGACCATGCAGCTCCGTCCTTTTCTTGATGCAGAGCCAAGCGCAGACCTGTGAGAAAACGTATGCCGTCTGCTACATCTTGTCTCGTGCTTTTTGGAACCATGTGTCGGTGTGCGTAGAGAACCTCCCGCGCGCACTCCAAACCATGATCAGACAAGGCTTGTGCGTCTTGACTGCACATGTGCTGATTCAGCTGCGCTGCCGCCCTGCGCACCAGAGCATCAGACAGCATGACTAACTAAAAGCAGATATGCCAGGAGCCCGTATAGTCACGCTCTTCAATTGTTAGAATCTATTATGACCCTGTCTTCCCACCAGAAGCTAGGCTACCTGGCTTGGGCAAGGAATCAGCTGCTATTCTACTGCTCTGCGGACTGTTCTTGGTTTAGTGCACAGAAATCTTGACGCTGCTTTTTTCGCCCCTTTGGTCCCCTACTCTCCTGGCTGCCACTACACAGGAAAGGACGGCTAGCTCTGTCCCATGAACGCTCGAACCTACAAGCCTTTAAGCCTCTTTTCTTAGACACATAGACTCACCCATTCCTGGCCAGCCCGTCCTCCCTGAAACCCCTTGGAAGCCGAAAACGACTTCTTTTCAGTGACACGAAAAACCCTGGACATAGCATTCATTCATGCTGGATCGCATAGGTCGCAACACTCAACCTCAAGGCCACGGTGGTCGTCTCACGAGGCCTGCCAAGTGTGCTGATTGGGGAAGGTTGAGGAATTGTTGCCAAGCCAGAAACCTGAAATCACCAGACAGGATTGCTCGGAAATGGGTGGGGCGCCAGCCAGGATTGCTCGGAAATCTGGGGGTCAGCGCGGACGGGCGATTTCCGAGCAATGTTAGTAACATTGCTCGGATTTCAGTGGTTGCACCAGGACCAAGGACCCGAACCGGCGAATCCGAGCAATGTTACTAACATTG